TTGGGTCGTCACCATATGCAACCCCTTTTCACATTACACACAGCATTTGATCCATTGTTAATATATAAATATTGCTAGTGCAGCTTTAAATAGTTCCATTGATGAATAATCAGTCAAACAAAATAGAGACACGGCTTACTGTTGGTAGATTTGCTCATTTTTCTTGCATACTTTCACTGTACATAATATATTTTATTTTACTATGTACTAGGATTTTGTGCTCCTTCTGTGTAGCCATTAATGGCATTGCTGAAACAGCATGAAAATATCTTAGCATCCTGAAGTGTACACTATGTGCCAATACAATACAGTAGCAAGGGTGCTGCAGATGTAATTAAACATTGTAGTATTTCAACACATTTGGTAATTACGGTTATTTCATGGCTTTATGCTAAGTGTTTTACAGAATACACAAGTGGAACCCTTGCTTTCAAGGGGTTTTCGCTCCCCTCACTCTTTGATTACTTAATGGGATTAATTATTCTGTGAAGAAGCAGAGTGACTAAGCTGTGCAGGTTTTTCACAACCTGTAGATCCGTAGCACTGCAGAGCTTAAAGTTGCTGGATCAGTGGGCTAGAAGAGGGTCGCTTCTTATGTACGACTTGTTAGCACGTTAATCCCCAGATTCACTATATGGCACTAAAAGGACAAGGCCAAGAAAAAAAAAAACAGATACTAAAAACAAGACAGGATGTAGCCTTTCTTTCACCTCCTAAGACATGAGCTTAAAGGCCGGACCATGTGAAGGGAGAAAATGTGTTGGTGGTCTGCAGCTATGACAGCCCTGTGCGTGCATACACACACAGACGCACACACACATTCCCCTCTGAAACCCCCTACTTACAAAAACCTCCCCGACCTTCCTTCTAATTGGACTTGGGGTAAAGGGAGAGAATGGGTGGGGGTGGCTGTGGGGGGTTGAGATGAGGTAGCAGGCGTAAATGTGACCTTTTTTCCTTCAGGGAGATTCCCAAGACACAGTGGGGAGGATTGGTTTTTCTTTGGGTCTGCTCACAAAAGAGCCTCAGTTTTCTCTGTTACTGGACAGTCCCACCATTTTAACTGCAATTACTCTGCCAGAAGAAGCACAACTAAATTTAGAACAGATGACAAAATAAATTTACAAACAAGATGAAACTTGTGGGAGCATCTTTGTAAACCAGCGGAATGGAAGTCGCTCTATTTTTTAATAAAACCAACAGTCGGTGATGGATGGAGTACTCTGATCCTTTACTGAAGTAAAAGTTGCAGTGCTACACTGTACAATTGAAAACCTCTTTACAACTTTGACTGTAGTAAATGTGCATAAGTATTATTAGTAAAATGTTAAGTATACTATTGTAGGATGATTTCATTTTTAACAATACCACAAAGTGATCATATGTTTTTTATTTAAAATCATAATCTGCAAAATATTATTGTCTGACAGTTGTAATGGATAAAATGTATTGACATATTAATCTATATGTAGGTCTGCACCAACAAGAATCCAGGCATCCTTATGGATAACAACCTAAGTGGAGTGTCCATGTGGATTTTCTGTGTGTTACGCTGGCTCAAAGAATTCACTTTCTTCAGATGCTGTATGGTGTATAGAGATCATGTAAATATTTCACAGTGCAATGCTATATAGTATTATTAGATATGGCATGGCATCATGGTATGGTACACTGACAGTCCAGCTAATTTGGTGAAACCAGCAATTAAAGTGATTGGCATGAAAGACATGCACACAGGATTGTAAACAATCCGACACACATCCTTTATAATGAATATGGACTTTTACCTTTGGGCAGACGTTACAGAACCATCAGATGCAAAAGCAGCTGTTTTAAGGTTTCCTTCCTCCCAACATTTATTGCATTACTGAATAAGAAGTTAGTTAATCCCACAGAGTGGAATTATTAAATTGATGAGCAGATTGATTAAGATGTAGGTTTAGTTGCTTAAGTTTGTCCTACTTACGGTCTCACGATCACGTTGGCTTTTTATAATATTTATTGGCTTATAGTATGGTTAGTTTATAATGAGGTGTGTGCAATATTCGCCTCAATTTTTGTGTCCAAGTCATGTGATACCATGCTGTCCACTGTACATTGTTTATGTTTAATGTATAGTTATGTATTGAATGTCATGCAGCTCTGTCTAGCATTCCTTTTGCCCAAGACAAATTTCCTTTGTGACAATTAACTTTCTCTTATCTTATCGTAAATATTAGCCTCTGAAATGTTGTGGAATTTAAGTACAGTAGCATGGATTGAAGGTTAAGTGTCTTAAGATGACGCTTAACCCCAGTACTTCCATCACAGGCAACAGCAGATACACACCATAATTTACCGTGGTACACCACTACACGGGTACTCTGGTTTATATCCACAACTGCTGATGAGAACTATTGCATTAAGATGCAGTGCCTTTTATTTGTATTCAGGTCTTGTCATGGTCCAGATGATGTGTTGTGTTCTTAATGGTGGAGCCAGTAAAGCTGTCCCATTGCTCACCTCGGCACATTGGGCTCACACACCTTTTCTGCCAGTTTAATATGGACCGTTACATTCTCTCAGCTCAGTCCATTCCATGATTTTGTGTTCACAGCAGCTGCACTCTAAAATGGTTCAGTGGTTCACTGGTTCAAGTTAAAAAAAGAGTACAATTTGCATGCATCTCTTTAACTAGTTCCAACTTTGGCATTATTGAGTAAATCCCGTCAGTCTTTAATAATCTGACAGACTAAATTATTTTAGTACAGCCAACATGACTTGCTTTGACCTCAAAAAACTTAATGAAGTCAGACCAACTAAATATTTATCCAAAAGTTGTGTTGACATTTAGTGGTCAAAGTATTTTATGAAAGATATTCTAACTTATTTATTTTAATTCCATCTTACTCAAAAATGTCAAAATTGTTTTTGGTTTTGTCCATCTTTTTAAAGTAAGTTGTCAACTGATTAAAACACATTAATGAAAAAAAAAATGCTGAAAAACTTTTTTTTTTCTCAAGAGTGTAATACTCCTTTGAAGAAATGAAGGCAAGTCAGATGAGTGTATCCACATTTTGGTCAACTCCACTCTCCTGCATCAGGATATAAACATTTGGGCTAAGAGATTTTAGAAGGGAAATCAAACTGAAACTGCAAGTACTGAGGGGGACCAAAACAGTATTTTTAAAAAGTGAAAGATAATTATACCTCATCTGTGTCACATATTTATTCTCCAGTAGTCACAAAGTGACTATATCATATCTTCTCATTTCAAATATAAAACTGCTTTTCTCTTGAGAATTAAATATCTTTGAATTTGTGACTGCGGGTCAGAAAAAAGCAAGACATCTGAAGATGTCACCTTGGTGAAGGACAAATTTGGAAAAGCATTTTTTTCCAGACATGTTATAGACTGCATTATTAATTAAAAATAATTAGTTGCAGTCCTAATTAAATCTATTTAAAACTTCCCATTGATCAGAATGTCAGTGTGAGTTTGGTACTACTGCAATTGCTGTTTGAAACCTTCCCTTCCAATATGTAATGGTGCCATTATTAGGGGAGAGTGGGGTAAGATGAGCCAGTGGGTAAGTTGACCCACCCCCTGTTTCAAGGCAACTGTGCACATTTGTTGTCATGCAACCATAAATTCAGGACGCAGCCATCCTTTCTTTCTGCTTGTGATGAAGACAAGTACGTGGTAAGTAATTGCTAATCCAGGCATTTTTTTTCCTTCAAAAATGGTGGCTATGGAGCAAAGTGAGCCAAATGCTGTGGGGTAAACTGAGCCAGCGAGCCAGCTTACCCTACCATAAGGCACTAAAGTTAAATAAAGTCTGAAGTATAAAATGGTTTGTCTGTATGATATTACATAGCTGGTGGTTTATCATGTGTTAAACATGGTAAAAAAAAAAAAAATTAAGGCTCAACACCCTTTGTAGAGATGGAGAGAGCGACCATTTATGCCAAGTGTGGAAAATCATATCAGCGGCAAAAGACAAAAACATTGACAGGTCACCCCTGCAGAGGTAGACTACATTTAAAGAAAAAAAGTAAATAAAGTAAAAACCGTGAGGTACAGTGGAGCAATGGAAGAGGGTCTACACAGAGGAGGTGCTGTAGAGAAGGAGCTGGCAGACCACATCTAAAAGGCTGGCTTTTTTCTTTGTCTTACTTCAAAGAAGAATTAACTGGAATTAGAAATGTAAAGAAACAACATTCCTGCTCCCAACAACTGGATAAAGAAGATTTTACCAGGTAGGATGTGCAGGACATTATGAGTTAGTAGGTCTGCAAAGGCTGACTTATCTCGTGTAGTTAAATTCAGTGGAATTAATTATATTCTTTTAGGTCGACATTTGTTCAAGAACATCATGGCACGCCACCATCTCTCCTCATTTTTTTCTGCCACATACTTGACTAGATGCCCCATTTTTTCATTAACAATTTTGTTATGATTATTATTTTTTGCTCCTAAAAACTACAGTGGCTGTCCTTTTAATTTGGATGACTATCCTGATTTAACAGAAATTACAATGGTTTCACAAACGCTAAAAGAAACTAAACTTTATTTGGCTGGATTTATGTTGTTTAAGTCAGCTATAAAGAAAGAAATAAGACTATTTGTAAAAGAAAAATGTGTTATTAAATTTCATTTTAAAAATAGGTAATTATTTTGTATGAATTATGCTTAAAATGTCAGATGGCTCGGTTAACACACTGACAGGAGCACTTTTTTTTGGCGCAAGTCATATTTCCAGGGCCCACTGACATAGATGCATTCTTATAATTTCAACTGATAGAGACATCTTGAAAAAAGGGTACATGTTTTCATTGTTCTTTTGTCTTATTTTTCTTTGCAAAGTGGACAACATAAGTAAAAATTGGCTCATCTCACCCCACTCTTCCCTACAAGTTTGGCGATTTAGTCAAAGATTAGTGCTTATCACATTGTAAGCCACATTACCAAAAATAGTGAAAAAGACAAACTCTGAGGAGCATACAATCAGGCCATGGTGTTTGAAGTATAACAGTCATGAAATTTATCATAACTTGATTCACAGCAACATGTATGTCAGAAAAATGAAAAACACATTTGTCTTTGTCTGTAGCCATATATATATATGCACATTTGTACCACACGTTTCACAAATTTCAAGATATTTCACAATAACAGCACCAAAGAGCTTTTGATTGATTCCTTAACCCCACTAATACATTCATTCATTCATTATCTTCCAGATATACTAATAATCTATTAGATACAGAAGTGAATAATTTACAATAAAATAAGGTACATTTCTCATTTCCAGTACTTTTATACTACAATAATTCCATTCAGTCTACACATGCATCAGTCTTTGATGAAGGCTGTGGATTTTTAAAATTTCACATAGGAAGTAAAGGTTATTGTATTGTCTTAATGATTGAAAAACCTGTTAACTTGTAGTGTTCAACAAAGCAAGCAGCTTACTAATGCTGAAAAGATTCTCTTCAGCAACTCATTCCTGTGCTTACCTCCCGCATGGAATAGAAACTGTACACCAATACTCTGAGAACTCACAGTGGTATTAAAATCACAGACCAAAAAAAAGTCAGGTACTGCATCTTAAAGATGAAAACGCCACAAAGTGTTTTGTTGTAAAATGTTAAAATCCTCACCAAACCAAAACAACACTGAACAATTGAACCATCATACTATATGACAACACCTTCTCTGGATTATGCTTTGGTTTGGTCCAAACTTAATACAAACGCATATACAAAAGATCTTTTTGTAAGCTGACTTTTTGTGAGGCATCTGCATAAGCAAATTGCGTTCATACGTCAGATGCAGTGGGTTTCGTGCTGACATTGGCCTTGCAGTGACCTTCAAACAGGCACTTTTTTTTTCTTCCCAATTCTGTGTTGAGAAATAGGCCTTACTTGTTCATTCATTATGCTGGATTTAATTTTTTTATTTTTTTAGTTATTTATTTGCTGATTGGGTCTCACAAACTGCTGCTCAGGTGTTTGACAACTCGCTTTCTTTCTCTACATCTACTCACTTCAGTGACTTGCATCTAGCCAACACAATCAAATAATAAAACACAATTCAGAAAGATACCATCACTTTACACTTTCTGTCACCAGTCCTTTACTTACTGCTGTACACTATGTACCACTTATCTTGCAGAGATAGAGCTGTTGTGGTATGAAGCAGCCATATTCTCCGGGCACCTGTGTCTGTTATTGTTTTGGATTAATAGATAGGACTATACCTTTATTTAACAGAAACCTGAAGGATCCCTTAGTAATCTCCTCAGAGTGTCAGAGTGTCTCTAAATCTCTGGAACAAAGTCCTGTATGAATACTTTGTGCAAAAATCTTTCCACCACCACCCTGTCTTTGTTAGATGAGCTAGTGTAGGTCTTTGTTTTCTTCCTTGTACAAGGCATCAGATGTGCAACTGGAATACATGAACTGCTACAGAACATGACACAGACAAATGAAAGAGAATGAGCAAAACCAAAGAGAGTAAAAGCCAAGAAAACAACCAAAATGTGTCCAGAGGAAACAGGAATCCATCTATGTCAAAACAAAGCATCATTCCAGAATTTTCTTGTCCATGGATTCTTTGCCATTGGTCCGCGAGTAAGGCTCAAAAGCAGAGGAGCTCAGGTAGCGGGCAGAAAGTTCCTGCAGGTTGCCAGCCAGCGAGCCGGCCATTGACAGGGGGTTGGAGGAAATGCGGGTGGTGACTCCGCTGAGTAAGGAGGGCATCGGGAAGCTGAAAAGGCCATGAGCCGCAGGTGAACTCTGCAGACTTGCCACCGTCCCTGAGCTGGTGACGGCAGGGAGAGGAGGGCTGCCCCCCGCTGTGCTAGTGCTGCCACCGCCGCTGCTGCTACTGCTGCCATTGCTGGCCATGGCCATTGAGTGAGGGCGCAGAGCGGAGCCCAGTGTGCTGCTGCCACAGTGGGGTAGGAGGCCCGGTAGGCCTGGAGGCGTCAGCAGCCGACCCTGCTCCAGTAGTCTGAGGACACTGCAGGTTGCTGCTGTTTCTGAAACCACTGAACGCAGCTCAGAGTCCTTCCCCTGGTCCTTCTTCTGCTTAGTACGCCGATTCTGGAACCAGACTTTCACCTGCAGAGGAATACATATAAGAGAAAGGGCCTTCAGAGGCACATGCTAAATGTAATGTGTAACATTGCCTTTATGGGACAGGTTATTAGATTGAATACAACAATACTTGAAAAAAATGCTAACGTTGGTGAGGCAATCAGAGAAATGCAATAATTCATATTCACTGATACATGTGATCAGAGCACCTTAGTGGCCGAATAGTTACAGTGCATGCAACATTACAGCTACTTTGCTGGTTCGAGTCCATCCGAGGACCTTTGTTGCACTTTCAGATTATGCATTGGATATGCTTACAGGCACACGTACACGTACACACATGCACACACACACAAACACACACACACACACACACAGTCAACCAGGTAATGATTGAAGACTGTGACTGATCAAAAGCTGCGGTGATTTAATTCAGTCATGGCAGAGAGGGCTCACTGGGATCCACCATCATACAGGAGGCTAATTCAATCAAAACTTGCTCAGAGAGCCTTTCATATGTTCAACACTGATAAACTGTCTCAGCCTCTTACACTACAAAAGGTTCAAGCATGAGCTCAAATCCAAATAGCCAGCTCCTATGTGTAACTTTTCTATTTTTTTTTTTAAAAATACATAGACAAATCTGCCAATAAAAAAAGATACATTTATTTTATTGTTTATTAGTTTTGTATTGCTTATTAATTGTTGCGATTATGTTGCAAAATGGTTCAGCTGACAGTGAAAAAAAATCAATTGGCAATAATTTGATAATTATTTAATTGTTTTATTAAATTACTGAGCAAATAATCCAAACACATGCTGGAGTCAAATTCTCAAATGTTGCTGCTTTTCTCTGTTTTAGATTATAATAAATTAAATATCTTAGTATAGTTTTTGAATAGACAAAACAACCAATATAAGTATGTCTCCTTGAGTTCTTGTGATATTTTAGTTGTTTTTCTCACTTATTTTTTTTAACATTTTAAAGACTTAACAACCAATTGTTTAAGTGGAAATCTACGTGACATTTAAAAATCATTTTTAGCCCTAAAGTTTACAGTCCACTTTCATAGATAAATGACACATTTTAAAGGTATGAACACAGTGAATAACACATTCACCGAAAGTTCGTTTCACTGTTCCTGAAAATGTTTATTTTCCCTACTTCAAAATTCAAAATGGCCACCATCACTTTAATAACCTGTACCTTCCTGGCCCTAAAACATCATATTTCTACCTTAAAACTTTAAAAAGGCTGCCATATTTACAGGGATGTGAGAAAAAAATCAATACTGCATAGTATTGCAATATTTTGTGTGGTGATATTGTATCAATACACAAACACCAAGTATAGATGTTTTGTTATATGAATTCTTAATGCTGCAATGGTGATACCCACCTCTAATGATTACATCTCAGAATATGATAAAATCTAAATCGTTCTTGTAGTTTCTGAAAATTTCCAAATTCTTACAATTTATTAATCTCCATTTAACTTGGATAAAAGTTTGTTTCAGAAATGTTTCCCACAGTTAGGAGATTTTGTGGGTAGACTGTTTATTAGCTGAAACAGTATATCCAGCAGTTACTGGAGTATTAAGGTAAAGAAAATAAAGCTCATTCTCTATATTCCCATACCCAGGGATGGAGAAAAGAATGCACTCTTAGTGATAAATTAACAATTAGGTCAGATCATACATCTGACTCAGATCCATTTAGTTATTCTGACACATTGTTCAGTTTTATATAACCGCAATTGAATAAATGTCAAAACTGATACAAATAGAGGGTTTTCTGTGAATTTTGCTTATTAATCTTCTGTCATCACACCTGACTGCTTTCATACGGAACTAACTGTATATGTACCAATCAGCAGCAAGCCACTAGCTCAATCCTATGGCTAGTCCAATCACATTTGAATTTTTTTTCTTCAGTGGGTGGTTTAACTCCTCAGTAGCTATTAAAATCCATGTCAATGCAAGAAGTCCTGCCGCCCAAACCAATGTTTTCTGTTTGCCACGCAAAAACGGCTCACAAGGAACATCTTGTTCATTTTAGAGGTTACATTCTCAGTGCAATGAAAACAAGGTGATGCTGGGAGCTCAAACAAAGATGATTAGGTGTTCACACAGCAAATGGCGGTCATCCTTTAATGTAACAGCCTGTGAGTACCAGGGAACAAAATGTTAATTTCACTATGTTGTCATTAAAAAGCATTTCATGAGGACAAGAAGCAGACACTAGAAGAGAATCCTAAAGCCTTTGTCCTGCCTCACTAGGAATGAAAGGTTCTGTTTCACCTTTGTGCAAAATAACATCTCCAGATGCTTATTAATTTGTTTTTATGTAAAAATAAAAAAAATAAGCATTTGTGTGGAGGAAATGGAAAAGAGAAACATTAAAACATTTAAAATGTAAAAAGCAAAAAAGCAACATGTGCACAGCTGTTAATAAAAGGAACAGTGAGTGTGTTGTACGTCTACAGACAGATTAAAGTTGTCAGTTGTGGTGTCGTTTTGTGAGAAAAGGTTGACCTCTCGCAGACCTCTACCCAAGGTCAACTTCCTTCCGCCGCATTGAAAGCCACAACACATTAGCACAAAGACCAAGCTGATGGCACTATTAGCCGCTTTGCACATTTGAAAAAAATAAACAAATAGAAGCATGAAACTCGAGCTGAAAATACACCAAAACTTTGAGGCAGACCGCAGTGGTTCTCTTGAGTCTAAATCATACTGCGTAACTGGGTGACTTGCTTTAGAAACGGGTGATAAACACAGGGTGCATATGCTGTTCATCCACGGCGGACGTTGCATGACCTGCTGCTGACCCCACACGTATGACATGAGGAGAAAGTCAGGGCTTTTTCCCAAGGCAGCTTCCATTTGAGCAGCTCTGGGTAATAACGCCAAACACTCTGTTAACTACATTGATGCTATATTAGATTTATGCAGGAGCCTAATGCTTTTGTTTTAAAGGCAGACATACAATTAGAACTATTTCTGTGGGAAATCCATAAAGGTGCAATTCATGATCTAAATACAAACCAACAGTTTGCCCAGGCGCTCATATCTAAAACACTGAACTGGAACCTGCGAGCACTCCTAAATGAACTGAGAGCTCTCTGAATACCAGCACTCCACAGCAGCTACAGTTTTTTATGATTATTGGTGCCATTAAAGATTTGTTGACATCTGTAGTGCTTGTAAAACAGGTCTATGTTTTTAAATGATGATCAATTGTGAAACACAAAATTCTTATTATACTGTATCTTGACTCAAACTGTAAATATGTGTGCAAGTATAGTATTTTGGTATATGGATGAAAAATGATTGCACCTTTAAACTAAACTGCTCTGTATAAAATGGACTTAATTATTTATTTGTGTCAAAGCTTACGAATGAAATTAAATTAATTTGATTGGATGGGTAAATTCACGTTCCTCTGTGACAAAGCAAGTGGTTCTAATACATTGTAACATAATCATGTGAAGTCAAAATACATGGTAGTATTTGTTGTGAAAACAGACACAAAAAGGAAATTATTAAATTCCCACTATACATTGCAATTCCGATTAAAACAACACTCTCCATTATGTCTTTCACACAGAAGATTGTCCAGTTTGCATGCAATAAATAACATAAAAAAAAAAAACTGGAAGAAACAATTGCAGTGCATACATACCTGAGTTTCAGACAGATTAAGCTGACGGGCCAGTTCTGTCCGTTCCCTCCCAACCACATACTGGCATCTCTGAAACTCCATCTCTAACCGGTACAGCTGCTCTGCAGTGAAGGAGGTGCGAGTTCTCTTTGGCCGGTCCAAATCCAAACCCTTCGGCAGGATAATCTCTCGGATAGAGCCTTTAGCATCTGCAACAACGAGCACTTTGAATGAACAACGAGGCAAAGAGTAGAGGCAAAAATAATTGGAACAGATGCAATATTTAGTCTATGTTTTAGTCTTTTCTTTTCCTTTTATGGTGTGGCTCTTGTTTCTATCGCTGTATTGCCTTTGATTTTATTAATGCATTTATTTCCGTGAAAGTTACTATACTAAATAAAATGTATTATTAATATATTCCTGGTGTAGATGGTTTTAATTTGTTCATTATGTCAAACATTACAATAAGAATCATAAAAATGATTATTATTATTATTAGTATTGTTATTATTATTATTGTTATTATTATTATTATAGGTAGCACAGTAGCTGAGGTACTAAGAACTTAGAGTGATAAGTCAAATTCTGATTTTATTTGCTAAATGTAACAACAGTGTATATGGAGTAAATGTAACACAGTGTACTTAAAGAAATTACTCTTTGTCTGAATTATGCATTACATCTTTGAGTTTACAACAGTCTGCATTTGTGATCAGTCCGGTATAAATCTTATGAAAGGAAAAAATTCAAATGTCTTTGAAAAGATGAACTTATCTGTAAGTGTTTACAAATGTGTATACATAGTTAGTGAAAATGACGTATTAAATAAGAATAACAGAAATATGTTGTGGTTCCATTTCAAGTTCTATCATGTATTCCATGTTACCACAAAAGAGAAATTACAACAATGGTTCAAAATTAAAGTAAAATAAACACAATCTCCATTTAACAAGCATGTGTAATTTTCAAAAGATAGTGTTAAATTTATTATAATTTTAAATCATTTTAGATTAATTCAGAATTATTTTGTTATTAATAAAAACAAATATTAAATGACTGATGTCCAACAGAATATTTTGAGGGATAACATTTCTCTATATTTTAGGTGGTGGGGCTGCTCTGTCTCATTATGTCTTGCGTAACTAATCCAAGTTATATTTATAGTTTGTTTTCATACACTCTCAGTGTTGGCCCAACACTGCATGAAGGAAATTACATAAATCACTCTCTGGGCAACTGACACTCATACACACAATTCCAGAAATGATTTGTTGATATTATATATTTCCAGGAACAAACTACCGTCTCCTTTTTTCTATTAAACCATTTTGAATCTTTATATTTATCACCCTGAAAGTGTAATGCAGTACACACAATGTAAATCCTGTAGTCATTTTATTCTTAAATGCATGGCCATGCACACACTCAAATACACCCAGGGAAATAAATGTGAATTATTAATTTTAGTTATTAACATTAATTACAAAAAACAAAACATTTACTATCTAATTATGAAATAAAAATATATATTTTTCTTGTCATAGTAATTACTTTGAATGACAAAAATGAAAAGAAATAAACCATTGAGGTCATACCATATGGCCTAGAATTTAGGATACATGTCTTTTATAATAATTAGCTTTTTAAAATGACAAATAATTAAGTTCGCTTATATATTTATGTTTCTGTGATTGTACAAATAAAGGCTCCATCAACTTAAATTAAACAGACAGCAGATATTTTGCTCTTAACTTTAAGTTAAGTGAAATCTTCCTATTATCAACTTTCTCTCTATGTATCAACAACCACTGATATTACAAAGGCTTCATTTTTAGTATAGTTCCTGAAGGTACTCTTTCATTTTGTGATTCTAAAATGTGTGCAATCTAACAGCAGTTAAAACTGTTTCTTCAGATTAATCTGTAGGATCTATGAAGCACTACACTGCAAGTTCCTAATAAAAAAAAGAAAGAAAGAAAGAAAGACCACAAGCCTTACCTCGGACAAGTATTCTCCGACAGTAGTCTGGGTCCCCCGTGCTCCCCCTGTTCTTCTCACAGTTGTCCACGGTCCCAGAGGGGGAAAAGGAGTCCTGCTGCTCCTTGAGGAAGCTTTTGGACAAGCTGCCCTGGGAGTCCTTCTCATCTTTCCCCTTCTTTAGTCCATTCTTCAGCCCCATCCCTTCTGTCTCTTGGTTGTACCTGACCTCCATGCTCAGTTTATCCTCTTGGACCTGTGGCTCGTCCGCCTCTTTTTTTCCTTTGTCAGGTGAAAAAAAAAGAGGTTACAGAGAACACGGTGCACCAGATCGTCTGGACAGTGTGGGGTTTAGTTTCAAAACAGCACCTTTCAGCAGGGTAGAGTCAGCTATCTAATGTTTGATGAAATATTTCCGTCGCCCAACCATGGAGCCCTATTATCACTGACCAAACTCCCTTGCCCAATGATCATAGACTTCTCAGTGAAACTCAACAGTAATTCAATGCCCTCCTTTCCTCGTTACATAGACATAAGGCTGATAGATAATCTCCAAATAATCAGAGCCATGGATGCGCACTCGCTGTTTCAATTGATTACGGTAATTTGCTGCCTCCACATTTGCGTAACCTCATGAATACACTAAATTGTTTGGGGAAATAGATCAGGTCTTGATAGAGGGGTCTGCTCATCCCATCCACCTCAGTTTGCCTGCTCTCAGCCCTGAGAATCAAGACAAATGATTGGTCTTGCCTCGCAACCAAGCCTCGGTGAACCCCACATGAACGCAGACAATCACAGAGGTGCGACTCTTCCAGACCTGAAAAAAGTTCCCGGGTGCTTCATTCTTCCGTCCGAAGAACACAGCCATGCATTTTTTCCCCCGACTTTTCACAGCGTACCTGATTACAACAGCATGTCAGCGAACTTTGATCCCGTTTTTCCCTTTGACTCTCTCACCAATCAACGTAATTCTGCAATGTGCGGATCTCACCACTATGCTATTGTAGGCAAGAGACACTGGGAGAGAGCCAGAGAGAGGGGGAGAGAGAGAGAGAGAGACAGACAGGTGAAAGGATAACAAACAAATCCACATCAGTCAAACTGATCAAGGCAATGACGACCCAGCCGGTTTGAGCATTGCAACAACATCAGGCTCTGCTTAAACAGGGATTGTGATGAAGTTTCCTGTGTTCATTCAGAGAGCTATGCAGAGCAGCCCAGTGAGGTCCTGGCCGCTAATGCCGCATCCTTCAGTATTCAAATTGCACCCCAGAAGCCGTCTTCAGCTCTCACAGTCTTAACCTGCACATTTGAAAAAGACAAAAAAGGGAACAAAGCTTGTCATTAGTGTTTAGGCTGCCTACACTCTTTCACACACATGCATACCTCTGGAAGAGCCCCTACCTCTTTCCACCACTCGCCTTCCAGCCCACTACCCACCAACCACCAACTCTTAGCTATTTTCATTGTCAGTGTAACAATATCTCTGAACACAGCAGTGGCCAGTAATCCAATAAGACCATTGATTAGGCCACAATGATTCAATTCAAACCAGTGGCCTAGTGCAAGGAGCATTCTCTGGCCCTTCTTGTCACCTTAGCTGGCCAGAAGCCCTCTTCAATCTGCCCCCCTCCCTGAGTGCCATTCATGCTTTTATGGGAAACAGAGAGGAAAAGGAGTGAAAGATGGCAATTATCTAATTGGACTATTAACAAACAATTCTGCGAGTGTGGCTGCCTGGCAGCAGTCTCGGGGTGGGTTTAAGGGCCGCATGTTGGACTAACTTTATTCACTGAGTGTTTGGGGGGCTGCTGCTTGGAGAGGGGCAGGATCCATTGTTTGAGAAAGGTAAAAAGGAGGCTAAAAGGGGAGCGACTAAAGGGGACCTGGGCTTCTCAAGCTGTAGTGCATGGGAAATAGATTGAGGATGCAGCATCTTGGCCTCTCAGCTAAACACAATGGCTGAGGAGGAGAAAAGAGTGATGTGTTCACATCCCCAAAAATATCACACACTCAGTGCTGCAATGTGTGAAGAATGCTGCATATTTACCATATAACAGCATGTAATCTCTTGTACAACACACACACACATCTTCCAGTATTAAATGACTTAAATCAAAGTATTCATGGAATTTCAACTGACAGATCTGCAAGAATTTAAGGGCAAATTCCTAATTATATTAGCCTTGCAGATGAAACACACCCACACAAGCATTGCAGTGCAAGTCTCACTGAGAATGTCAATAGTATATTAAACACTAGAAACCAGCACAAAATTGTTACTCCAGGCTTCACTATGATACTGTTTATGTAGTTTTAACTTGTAGAGACAGGTTTCCTGCTGTATGCACCCTGGATCAGCTGAGATCTTAGCTCTTTCTCGTTCTGTATTCGTTGAATACCATCACTTTGTCACTGATTTCTGTGTGAGACACCTGACACCAAGACCAACTTTTCATGGCAGTATGATATGCCACTGGGTGATGTCAGTTTATAATGCAGCCAGACAAACCCTTATATGATGTTATGATACACCGCCAGTCAGCTGGACGGCACCTGTTGCGGCAGTATGATACAAAGACAGGTGGCGTCAGTTCATAACGTGGCTGGATGACAACTGTTACTGTGGTATGATACGCCGCTGACAGCGTCGACTTGAAATGCTGCTGGTAACAACAAGATGTAGGAAGCTGGAAAGTCCCTATAGGGCGGATGGTGGATGGGTCCAACAAAACCCTAACTTTCACTTGGGAGCCTGGTGTCCATTTCCTGTATGAATGTAAAGCCAAACCATGATGTTTTTTTTCTGAACCTGTTTTTGTTGCCTAAAACTAACCATGTACTCTTGTTGCCTGAACCCAACCATGGGCTTTTGTGGCCTAAACCAAGCCATGTGTTTTTGTTGCCTAAACCAAACCATGTGTTTTTGTTGTCTAAACCTAACCACATGCCTCTGTTGCCTAAAGCTAACCCTGTCCTTTTTTTACCCAAACGTAACCATGTGCTTTTGTTGCCTAAAGCTAACCATGTGCTTTTATTGCCTAAACCTGGCTATGTGCTTTTGTTGCCTGAACTTAATTGTGTGTTTTTGTTGCGTAAACTTAATGCATGCTTTTGTGGCCTTAACCAAACCACATGCTTTTGTTACCTAAACCTAACCATGTGCTTTTGTTGCCTAAACATAACCATGTGCTTTAGCTGCCTTAACCGGAGCACATGCTTTTATTGCCTAATACTAACTATGTGCTTAGCTTGTCTAAACCTAATTACATGATTATGTTGCCTAAACCTAACCATGTGGTTTTGTTGCCTAACCCCAACCAAGTGCTTATGTTGCCTAATGCTAACCCTGTGCTTTTGTAGTCTAAAGCTAACCCTGTGCTGTTGTTGCCTAAACTAAACCACGTGCTTTTGTTGCCTAAACCTAACAATGTACTTTTGTTGTCTTAACCTAACTGTGTTTTTCCGTTGCCTAAACCTAACCAAGTGCTTTTGTTGTAGTCCAGGTGTTGGTTACGGCGTTCCGGAAGGTCAGCAGCAGACACAGGAGAATACCTAGCGCGTAATAAGTAGATGACAAAGTGACAATATATCAAAACATTGAACAAGAACATGATTGAGTTCTATACACTTATAACGAGAGGGTTCTTTATAGTACTAGAAAGTGATAGCCTGACATCTCCAGTCCACATCTCAAATGCAAATTAGTCTGGAACGTCATTTTCAATTATTAAGGGGCTTTATCAACAGTCATAGACCCAAATGCCTTTGGATGCAAGTGGATAGACCGACAACCAATCAGAGAAACAAAACATGTAATGTAGCACAGAGTCATGGACAAATTAAATTAGGAATTATCTAATTTTGGCAATGTTCCTGATTTGACTGATGGCTGACTTAGTGATATTGCTAAAATGTTTAGAAAAACTCAGGTCCGAGTCAAAGATTACTCCTAAATTTCTGGCCTCATATGTACACTGTAATCCTAAAGAAAATAAAGTCTGGGTTACAGAGTGCCAAATGTAATAACTAAATCAAGAGTGTGACCCTGTTCATGAGTTGGGCCAGAGACATGCTGAGAGCAGTCAAAAGTATGGGTGAGATTGAGAAACACAGATGCAAGCTTGTCATTCTGGTTGTCAATATGAATACTGAAGTCCCCTAATAATAGGACTCTCTCATAGTTAGTGATAGTGATGGAAAGTAAGTGACCACATTCTGTTAAAAAAAATCACTTTTTGATGTAGGAGGGCGATAAAATAGGCCAAAAAAGGCAGTAGGGTGTAAGGTAGTGAAAGAGAGAAGCTCAAAAGAACTAAAATTACCAACAGTAGCAGGTGTACATTTATGGCTGGCTTTGTAAATAACAGCAAGTCCATACAGACCAGACTGTTTTTTAGACAGCCTTGCTGTATAATGTACCGGGATACTTGACACCTGCATAGACGTGTAATTGTCATTCTGGACTGCAGAGTTCATATTGTAATATGTGGAATAAGGGAGACTGGCGGATGAGTTGTTGAAGGAGGAGTGGTCAGCAGGACCCAGGGAAAGATGCTCATCATGAAGGTTGGGAGTGGCTTCTAGGTCAGGGTTAGGGATGGGAATCGGGAACCGGTTCCTGTTAAGAACCGGTTCCAACTGGTTCGATTCATCGACATCATTAGCCTTTATGCTTAACGATTCTTTCTAAACTAGACCATGACTTTAAGGTTCATAATAAAATGTTATGAAAGCAGATGTCTTGGGTTACAAACAACAGGAGGTGATATCATTAATTCACAGGAGGAATCGACAAGGGAATCGATAAAGAATCGGATCGATAAGCAGAATCGATAATGGCATTGATATCAATAAAATCCTATCAATTCCCATCCCTAGTCAGGGTCGTGCTGAACTGAGCATCAGTCAGAATTAAAAGCAATGTACTGTATGAAGTTTTGTGTAAGTTGTCTAATACCCTTTGAGTTTGGGTGTAGGCCATCTGGTTTATAAAGGGCATGTCTGGTCCAAAAACAGTCAAAGTTGCTAATTTCAGCCATTCATGCAGACTATAAAGACGGCTGAAATGCTCAGGGGTTTTGGAAGGAGCAGGGATGGGGCCAGAAAAGATACAGTTTTTGCCAAGACACTGGATTGTAATTGCGAGTGACTCAAGTTGGTCCTGAAGTTTGATTGATTATCTCCTCATGACGTCATTAGTGCACACGTGAAAAATCAGAATATGAGCTGAGGGGTGGAGATCGATGAGCACAGGAGACAGTTCAATAATATCTGCAAATTTGACACCAGGAAGACAGTGGGTGATAGCACCTAGGAGTTCAACAGACCTAACGATTGAATCACCAATAACAAGGATTTCAGGCTGCCTGTCCTTACAGCCACCATTGTAAGCAGAGAGTTTGAAAGAGAGAGATAACTGACTTTTGCTAGCTGGGGCAGTGTCAGGGGAAACAGAGTTGATTGAAACAGTATCACCTGGCGAGTTGCCGCTGACGTCACCACTGGCCACAGTAGTGACCAGAGCTTTTCCCATGGGATACCGGAGTCGTCTGTGATTATCGACGCTTTCTCCTCATTTTGGAGCCGACTGGGAGAGGCTGCTCCGGAGAGGCAAGCATGCATGTAGATGCTAGCTCAGTTATCTTTTCGAGCGGAGCAAAGAAGTTTGACACCAGGACAGGGTCATCCCCGTCTGGTGAGAAAAGAGGAAGAGAAAACTGACTCCCCTTCCTCACAACGGACGCCCACGAGAGAGGATGGACATCAGATGGGCCGGGAGCATCACTATTTGCCAGACTCTCAAAGCTGTGAGGAGCGTCCAGCTGCAGCGCGTCCAGCCGGGAGAGGAGCAGGGATTGCCGCTGGACAGCATCATCCAGGAGGCTCTTGATGGTGTGGGGTTCAGATCTCAGACGTGACAGCTCAGGCTCTGCTGGGGTAAGTGGAGGCATGCTCTGTAATGTTTGTGGGTCTACGTCCAAGTTAAATATCCATGTGCTGAAATTGACATGTTACCTCAGCGTCTAGCTAGCTCAGCTGGTGAAGATTATCTTGCTGAACAAATCATGTAAGTATCATAAATGTTTGATACATTTTTGGTGAGGGAACCAGGGGGATGCTAACTTCTGCATCAGCCTACAGAAAACATCATCCCTGGATAATTTAAGATTTGGGATAAAATATAGGGTTTACTGGGCCACTGAACATGTGAGGCACCAGGAACTTTATTATTCATCAACAATGCTCCAATCACCCAG